CAGTCTGTTCATTATAGTGTCATGTAATTATCTCTCAGTCGCTTGTTTCGCCAGTTTTTCCCGTTTTTTTTTCATGTTTGAGAGCTATTCCTCTATGGCGTGAACTCATGTAGTATGTGTTCATAGCTGTGAAGGTCTTACGAGGTGGTAGTTTTTTTTACAAAACTTGCACGATTAATATCAAACTATTTTGTAAATGTATTTCTTGGTTATTTTGCATTACACTGAAGAGATTACTTGCTGAAATGAAGGTAAAAGCATTGTTTCTAGAAGGCAAGTCGCGGTTGCGCTGGCTGGTGGTGAGCTTGTGTACTTCGAATTGGACCCGGTAAGTTGTCCTCTATTGTGTTTCCATAGGTTTTGAGGCCTTGCGAAAATATTCTCATCTAGACTGGGCAACTGAATGAATTTACTGAGCGCACGTCTTGGCCACATGAAGTGCTATGCATGAGCTTGAGCGAAATACCCGAAGGGGAGCTTCGTTCACGTTTCCTCACGGTCGGAATCGCAGATAGCACAGTACGAGTGATCTCACTTGATCCTACTGATACCCTCAGCCCTTTGAGGTACGAACATTTTGGACATTACTGATATAATGAAGACATCAGAACTGATCGATTATAGTATGCAAGCGCTTCCATCGCAACCGGAGTCATTGTTGTTGTTGGAAACCACAAGCGAAGATGGTAAAGGATCCTCGACTATCCATCTCAACATCGGTCTTCAGGTACCTCCTTAGACTGTCTTTTTTTCATTCACTGTATTTAATAACATCGTTACAGAATGGTTGTTTGCTGCGTACCACTGTTGATAACGTTACTGGAGATATGATGGATACCAGGACTAGATATTTGGGTACTAGACCTGTCAGAGTGTTCCGTGTTCGAAGCCAGAACAAAGACGCTGTGAGCATCCATAATGTGCTCTCACTGCACTTGTCTTCGATTGGTGTTTAGGTTCTCTGCACATCATCAAGATCGTGGCTACTGTACCACTATCAGAATCGTTTCCATTTGACGCCGTTGAGCTATGTGACATTAGAATCTGCGTCGAGTTTCAGCTCAGAACAGTGTTTGGAAGGCATTGTTGCGATTGCGGAAAATACTTTGAGGTAAACTCATTGAAGTATACCTTTTTCCTAAATATTCTATCTTTAGGATTATGGCGGTTGAGAAACTTGGTGCTTCTTTCAATCACATTAGCTATCCGTTGAAATTCACCCCTCGACGGATGATTGTGCATCCACTGGCAACGTGCCTCATGATGATCGAAACCGATCACGCAGCCTACACTACTGTGACTTTAGACAAGAAAAGAAATGATATGGCCGATGTGAGTAGAGAATTCTTTTTAGATGAGGTCTTAATTTCTTTCCTTCCTTGCCCTATAGGTAAAAGACTGGTTTGTCTCAAAGTGTATAGTGTCTTTGAGTGAATTTTGCTAGTCATAGATATTGAGATTATGTTATACTGTGGTATCACGTTGAATCTTGATTCAGGACATTGTGCGTCTAGCTACTGACATGGAGGAGGTGGAATTGGCAAAAGAGATTGCTGATACATTGCGAAATAACAAGCCGGATGAAACTGTGTATGGAGCCGCAAAGGCTGCTCCTGGTAAGCCATTGTTCAATTTCTTGATGGTGTATTACTGAATTTGATCTAGGGAAATGGGCTTCTGTCGTTCGTCTGCTGAATATCAAGACTGGAGAAAATGTCTCTACTTTTGAACTGCCACAGGATGAAGCTGCAAAATGGTGAGGCTTTTTT